TTACTCTCTAGTGAATGTCGTCAAAATCGATCCAGCCGTTTCAGAGATTTAATGGATATAGACAGACAAAAGTCTTGAATTTTTTTGGCATTACATACAAAGTCAATTTTAATATATGTATGTATAGACCAATTTGTGCAAACACAATGTTTGTCAATCTATATATTTGTATTGTTCGCAGAGACAAGGACTTGGAGCTGGCAAAGCACATAGCGTACGTGCATCAGCATTCGTCGCAGCCGCCGAGCCGGCTGCGCGCGCTGCCCATGCGCCTCGTGCGCCGCTACATCTCGCTCACCAAGCGCAAGCAGCCCGTCGTGCCGCGCGCGCTCGCCGACTACCTCGTCTGTCGGTACACTTCTACACATTACACACCAAACACACATTACAAATTACACTTCTACACAGTACACTTACACAATACACACTACACTTTTACACATTACACAGTTCACATTAACATAGAGATAACTAAACGACCACAAGGCGGAGAAGTGATGCTCAATTGACTATTAAGCTATGAGATAATAAATTTAAAACTTCCACACAAAAACTCGCTAATTGAAGCATATTACATAACATTTGGCTTGTATTATATGAAAAACGAAACAAATTAAACTGATGTCGATTTGATACTACACTAATATCAACAATATATTGGCATGATATAGTAACCCCTAAACTTCATTTTAGCTTCATATGTGGAGTTACGACGGGAGGCGCGCAATGCCCGTGACGTCACATTCACCTCAGCTAGAAACCTGCTCGCCATACTGCGTCTCTCCACTGCACTCGCCAGGCTAAGGTATTATTTTTATTATTAGGTACTATCTATAATTATTTTTATAAGTTTAAGACTATCATGTTGATCCGACTCGAAGGACCATTCACTATTGGTGTTTTATTTTTTATAATTTTAGGTTATCAGATGTAGTGGAGAAGGAGGATGTTTCAGAAGCGATACGTCTCGTGGAAATGTCAAAACAGTCATTGCAACATGTTGAAGAGAATGTCCAAAGGTACATTTTAATTATTGTCGCCCTAATAACTTTGCATCGGGATTTTTTCAGTGGGGATTTGAAATTATAGAAATTTCCCTATTATGTTTATGTTGCAGAGAGTTGTAGAATTTCCATACATCTTTAAAATAATATTAGCTATACATTGAGAGGTTTTAGTAACATTTATAATATAATTTGTATATAAATGTGTATGTACAGAGGTATAAGTGCGACGGACCGCATCTTCGCGGTGGTGCGCGAGCTGGCGGGCTCCAGCAGCACTGTCAAGATCGCTGACGTCATCGAGCGCTGCGTCGACAAGGGATTCAAACCTGATCAGGTCACACACCACTCCATTATATCACTACACACATCATCCCCATAAAGAAAAAAAAACATACAGACGAATTGAGATCCTCCTTCTTTTGGGAAGTCCGTCAATTAAAAAAAAAAAAACTAGCTCTTGCCAGCGAATCCCTTCTAGTGTTATAAAAATCATAGTAAGTAGTGGTAAATTTCATCGAGATCCGTTCTTGAGATACCTTCTAACAATTATCCATTCATCTCTCCAAATTTTCGCACTTACTACTAGTGCGAAAAAAATTGTTTATTTGATACGGTTAATTTAAAACTACAAGTAAAATAATCAGTATTAATTTCGTCTGTGACTTAAACATCTACAGCCTTTCAAATAAACGCGGTATATAGTTAAACTTAGGAATAAACTCAGTGTTTATGCCTCTTATTATATGGACATAATGAAACGCTGGTACTTAGCTTCATGGTTGTTTAGTTACTACATGTTACATTTTGGTTTTACAAACAACAAGAATAAGTTAATTAGCGCGAGATACGATGCATGGCCGCGCAGTTTGTCAGACGAAGTGCAAGAGAGTGAATGAATGTCCAATAGGGATGTCCGTGTGACGCTGTTGCTGTTTAATTTGTTACCGACAGCGCGGCAGCCAAAAATACAAAAACACTTATTATTAACCTAACATATCTTTATTTAAAACTTATTTACACTGAATATATACAAAACTTAAAACTCTCTTGATTACATCTTGACTTCTTTTTATATATCTTCTTTTAAGACAACGATAAATGCCTTGGTGGCCAGTATGCAACCTCTTTGGCTGTATATATACTGCTTGTCAGCCAAAGAG